CCTTTTTCATGGGCCATATAGGGCTGTTATACAGAGAATTTGTTGGCACCAACACTCAAGCCTTTAGCATGTCTTTAATCAAAGCACTAATTTCCTTCTGTCCACCAGGTATCCTGTACTATTTCAAGTTAACAACCTGAGTGGGTTCAGGCAATTCTAATGGTTCCCATTTAGCAGATCCAGTCAATACTGGCCTAAGAGCAGACTTGCACGCTTCCAGTTTTACAGTATCAGGCTGAAGATTTCTCCAATTAGACATAATATCCATATTGATAATACATTCAAGTAAAGGAGATGCAACTACTTTATACAACATCTGTTTAAATCTTCCAATTCTCATCTAAACTGTCACCTTAGTCCCATCAACTGTTGCATCCTCATATCCCCCTAGTCTAACCTTAGGTCCCTTCAACATTTCATTGACAGGCTTTGGGATGACAGTGCATTGGGCTCCAGTGTCCAGGAGTCCCAAGAAGGTCTCTTCCCCACCCCCAGGCCATTTTACCCATACATTTGCATATGGCCTCAGGTCCCCTGCTGGGGGCTGGACTAGAAGACCCCCACCCCCACCCCCACCCCGTCAGTCTCTGGCTTCATCAATGAGCTGAGTCTCCGCTTCAACTGGTCCCAGGTGGGAGTCCCTATTACTAAATTCCTTCTGAATGGAGTGAATAGAACAAACTGGTCTAGGCCTCCTTAAGGTGTGTGTGTGTGTGGGGAACAGCAGGAGTTTCCATTGGTCCACCCACCCTCCTGTTCCCAGTCCGGGAACCGTTCCCAGTCTGCCCCGCAGGTCCGGGCCGTGCGCACCACCGAGATCCGGCTTCCTAGAGCACCCTCATCTCAGCTCCGTCAGTGTCTGCTATGTTCATCCCATGCCTTAACAACCATCGAACAATCTCTGACCTGTTCAGATCTTTCCCTATTGCCCCTTTCCATTCTCCTATTAATCACTCTTATGCTTCTTGGATTTGTAAAACCCATGCGGGGAAGTTGTGCTAATAGGCCTGACACGGCTTCTCGGATTGCTGCTTTGTTTTGCCACAGCAGAGTTACGTGGGGTGCCCATGTAGAAGGGGCTCCTCTGATCACCACATGTGCCATGACCTGTGTAAGGGGCATTCTCACTGAGTGAATATCCCAATCACCATGAAGCCATTCCAGCATGGCTTGCATAATCATCACATCAGCTGCTTCCTCTGGAGTATTCCAAGGGGGCATTTAGAGGGGGAGGGGGCAGTTTCCCTTCTCAAGATACACAAACCTGACCGCAAATTTTATCTGTTCCAACAGACTGGCTGCCCCTCTGGGTTAACCCGTCCTGTAAATGGACTCTGGGTCAACATTTGTGCCTGTTCCATAGTGAGTTGTGGATCTTGCATCAATCAATCCAAACATACTCTTCCACTCAGCAGTATTCAAAACGAAAGATGCCGCCCCTAAATTAGTCACTCTCACAAGGCATTTTAGTAAAGGTTCCTCGGGAAGCTGACAATACTGATCTACAAACTGAAGCAGCTCTTTCACACTATACCCTCTGCATTCAGTAGTTTCTTGGCTTTGCCCGTTCCCTTCCCAGACTCCCTTCCTGGTGACCAGTGGTAGTACCGGTACTGCCTGTTGTTCTGACACAATTTTTCCTTTCTGGGTAGGCCCTGAAACTAGGGGTCGTAGCTCTAATTGGACTGGATCTGAACTCGATTTAGTGCTACAACCCTGCTCTACATTCTTTATCCCTGCCATTGCAGCTATTGCTGATAACAGCAACCAAGGAATCGTAAGTCTAGCCTTTTCCTCGTCATTCTGTATTTTCATATACATACAACTAGCCAGTTCCTCAGGAGTTAGATCCACCTCTCCTAAATCCCATGAATAGCTTTTGCCTTGGGAGACTGATCTCAACAAAAGAGCTGCTTCAATCTATGGCTGTCTTTTATCCCATCCAGAAGCCAAAGGTTTCTTACTTTCCCGTTTATCTCCTTTCTCCCAAAACCACATATTCCAGTGAGTCTGGGTGGTTGCAGCAAATCTCACTATTCTGACACCAGTTGCTTGAACAATTTCTCTCAGAAGATCAGCACGAGGCCGGTCCCCATGAGGCGGAGGTTAAAGATGTCCCAAATGTGCAAACTACCATGGCACCCCATCATTTCAGACATTAACTCTTCCTCCTCCTCCCAGTAATTTCCCATCTTTCGGTTCTGTATTTCACCATCATGCCTCACAGAACTCACAGACACCCAAGAGATCATCTCACCTAGTGGTGGAGGCTGGCAGGCTGGGAAGTCCTAGGTCTGTAAGTAGGTCTGGAGGACCCTCCCTATTCTCGGGGTTTGACAGACCTTGATCATCAGATCAGATGACGGCTGCTGTCCCAAATCCAGGGGTGAGATGAGGATGAGCCCAAACACAGAACCGGAGCAAGAGGAGGGCGAACCTTCCCGGGAGATTCCTAGGTACACCCTCCAGGAAGCTAAGGGTGGTGATTTGAGTTATACCCTCCAGCAAGGCAGGACTCAAGACACACCCCACCTGTGCTGCTCCAACAGCAATAACCCAAGTAGCTGGCCTTAACAATCAGCAGCTCAAGGCAAATCCCACCACAGATCCGGTTGCCAGTCATTACAGGGAACGACTCCTACCAGCTGCCAGCCAAGTCAACACCCAACCTTAACTACCACACCACCCCAAACAGGCATGGATAATAGAATTTACATCACAGAATGGAGGACAGTGGCTAGAAGGGCCACATCAAGCAGTTCACCCCACATACATTTTTATTATTATTAATCTTATTTGGAAATACTTGGGGATTCACAGCATTTGGAGGAAGTAATACAGAGAGCTGCCCTGGGCCCTTTGTCACTTTCCCTCCACTGGGAGTATCTTCAAAGCCGTGTAAATACCCACCCAGGACATGTGAGGTCAGTGTGGTCGAGATTCAGCCAGGACCCCACACGTTGCCCACACCCACCTCTCTCCCACCCACCCTCACACACCCCCGCCCCTGGCGACCAGGAATCTGCGCTGGAATTTCTCCAGGACGTTTTATAATGGCAGCTGCCGGAGCAGGACTTGCGCCACTGAGGCCTTGTCTCCAGAAGGTATAGGTCCTTCCCCAGCTCAGGGGACGTGACCCGGCGGCTGCCGCAGTGGGACGTCCAGGTGGGGCCCCGTCGCAGACCCAAACTTGGCAGTGAGGGCCTGACACCGGGTGTCCTGGGGGAATGTAACCAACGGACACAACTCGCTCCTTAAAAACGTTTTAGACTGGGAGGAGGTAGCTATGGGGGGGGGAGTGGGAGGGGAGCTGCTGCATTGTAAATTTTGGTCAATGACATGAGACAAAGTGTGTGTGAACTGCTGTATGAAAAGTGAATTTACTCTGTAAATCTTCACCCAAATCCTAATTAAAAAAAAAAAAAAAAAACGTTTTAGAGACGTGGGCCAAGACGGCAGGTAGGTGAGGGGCCGGGAGGCCACGAGGGCCCAAAGCAGCTAGCAGTGGGGCCACGTCCGTGGACCAAAAGGGGGCGCGGCGTCGGGGCCATTGTGTGCAGAAGGGCGACAGCGAGCTGCCGCCGTCCGAGAAAACGGTCGGGACCGCGGTGACAGCAGGGCATTGAAGGATCACAGACGCCTGGGCCAGCAGAGCCCGGGAAGTTCCCAGTCCGCCCCGCGGGTCCGAGCCGCGCGCACCACCGAGATGCGGCTTCCTAGAGCGGCCGACGGCGCTGTTTCCGGTGGGAGGAGAGTCACTTCCGGTCGGGAAGTTTGTCCAACTCCGGGCGCTCGGCGGTCGTGGGAAACTGCTTCTGGGCCCCTCCGGACCCATGTCCCTCTCCCGCCGCCACCAGGTGGGTCGGATGAGTCGCTGCCGGTGACCGGTGGACGGCGCCAGCTGCCTTGAGCCCGATCGCGGTGTGGGGACGACGGATCATCATGGCCGGTGGGGCCGGGCGCCTGCGGTGGTCGTAGTCTTTGCAGCTCACCCTCTCCTTGGGCTGGCGCTTTCCGGTCTGCAGGGCCTGGCTGCTCTCCCCTGCAGCTGGGTCGTGCATGGCTTCAGCTGTCATTCGCAGACGGACTTGGTGTCTCTAGCCTGGGCCGGCCCAGTGCGACCCAGACACGTGCCCCGCCGCCTGCTCGAAACCAACCCGCAGAACACCCAAACCCACTGCCGTGGAGTCGACTCTGCAGGACAGAGCCCCACAGGCTGTCCACCTTTGCAGAAGTCGACTGCCTCAGCGGTCTCTGGCGGAACAACTGGTGGGTTCGAACCGCGGAGCTTTCACTTAGCCCCTGAGCTCTCAAGCACTGAGCCACCAGCGCTATTAGGACCGAAGATGTGTAGAACTCCTCGGATCCCAAAGTGTCCCCTACTTAAGGGTTCTCTCCAGGGACTGTCTCAGGAAGACTGGCTGGTCGGATGCTCCCCGGAGAGGGAGCCGGGACCTGCAATGCCCTCCCTGCCCCTTCCCCTGTCACTCAGGAGGCCTGCTCCTCTGCCCAATACCCAGACCACACCGCTTCCGAGTCCTTCCATGCTCACGGTGACCCTGTGTGACAGCTGTGCACTGCAGGCCTTGTAGGCTGGGGCTTCCCGGACCTGGGGCTTCACGCCGCTGATTTGGGGCAAGGCTGCGGTGTGGCCTTGTTTGTGGGAACTAGCCCGAGAGCCATTCTGCAGGGCGGTGCTGGGAGAAGCCTCTTTCTCAGGCGGCACGGCCACTCTCAGGCATCACTTGGTGGCTGTGGCTGCTGACTGGCCCGGCAATCTTCTCGTGTGTGGAAGGGCACAGGGGGCCCAGCGTCCCTCTTATCCTCAGGGTCCCGGCTCCTCTTCACCCCCAAAGTTCTCTTCCGTTGGGTGGGAGTTGGTGGCCAGGCTCCAGGATGGGTACGGGGTGCCAAGGCTGGTCCCACTCACCATCTTTGTCTCCCCAGATTGTCTGCTCGGCACCTGCCTTTCCCAGGGCCGCTTGCAGGTCTGGCCGGCCATGCACCACTCCATGGACGTGCCCCAGGTGAGCCCAGTGCTGCCTGCCTCCCCCTTGCCCTGCAGATGTGCCGTGGGGTCCGTTAGTGACTTCCTAGTCTCCATGACTTGGCCTTGCCTGGAGGGCTAGGGGGAAGGGAAGAAAAGACCACGTGACCAGTTTACGAGCACGCAGGGTCATGCAGTTGCTATCCTGGGGCCCCGCTCCTCTGGTGGCCCTTCCAGGACAGACCCCCGCAATCAGCTTTCCCTAACTTCTGGCTGTGCAGTCTCCTGGGCTCCGAATCATTGTGACTTCAGGTCCGGCTGGCGTTCTCTGTATTGCAGGACCAAGTGACCTTCGAAGATGTGGCTGTGCACTTCTCCAGGGAAGAGTGGGCATGTCTGGACCTTGACCAGAAGGCGTTGTACGGGGACGTGATGCTGGAGACCTGCCAGACCCTGGCGGCGCTGGGTGCGGCCCAGAGGGGACTCCACATGGCCTGTCAGGGTGGTCCTCTCTGCTCTTGGGCCGTCCTGGGGTTACTCACCTTCCCTGCACACGAACTCTGCCAGACTGCCGGCAGTGAGCCTTCAGACACCTCCTCCCTCCTCCCTGTCCTCTCTGCTGAGGGTCTTCTCCAGGGGACCCCAAGCTGCCCTCGCCTTTGGACTAAAGGTGCTCTGAGCCCCCAGTCCTGCCCTGCCTGTGGGCTGACATGCTTTGCTTTCTCCCCCGTCCCCCCCAAGGGCTCAGTGGGCCGCAGCCACATCTCTGGTGCCCGGAGCAGTGGGCCAGCCAGTGGGAGAGACCTGGGGCTCCTGGCCAGCCGTGGGGCTCCTGCCCAGGTGAGCTCGCCCAGGGGAACACTCATTCTGGGCTGGCCGGGCTGACCCTGCCCCCCGTCCCACTCCTTGGAGGTTGAGTGCCATGGACTGACACGGTGGAGGCCCTGGGCCTGCTGTGAGCACAGCCACCTGAGCACAGTCACTGGGGGGCAGGGGCAGGAGGAGGTGCCCGGGGAGGCGGAAACCCGGGTGTGCGGGTGGCTGACGCCCCCCTACTCGGGGCCCGGTGCCTGGGCTGGATCCTGCTCTGAGAGTCTCTTCGTGTGCTTTCTGGGGTGGGCGCCTTGACTCTGTGGGCCCGTCTGCTCACCTGGAAAACGGGGAGGACACAGCGCCTCCCTGCAGCGTGCCCCAGCACGATGCTGAGGCAGTCACGGCGGCCGCAGTCACGGCGGCCGCAGTCACGGCGGCCGCAGTCACGGCGGCCGCAGTCACGGCCCCACTTCCCGGTGCTCACTGGTCCCAGGCACAGGCTTACAGCTTCCTGTCTCACATCACCTCATCCTCACAGCCACCCTCTGAAGGGAGGCACCGTCATTGTCCCCACTGTGCAGGTGAGGGCCCTGGGACCCTGAGGCGGTGGGGGCCAGCTGGTGGGCAGTGCTGCCCCTGCCTGCCTCCTCGTCAGTGCTGTGGGTCCCGCCCCTGCAGGGTGGGCGTTTGCAGTAATTTGCTGAGTCTCGAGACAGGCAGGTGGCGCAGCATCACGTAGCCTGGGGAGGGCTCGGGCTCCCTCCCAGGTGTGGGTGACTGTTGGTGACCGTGTCTTCCTGCCTCCACCGGCCCCAGCTCCTGCTCATGTGTGACCAGGAGTCACTAGCAGCTGGACTTGTCCCTCCAGCCCCCTTGCCATCATGAAAAGGAAGCTGCACATTGTTCTTTCTTTCAGTGTCTCTGAGACGTGACGTCAAGCAGCTGTGTGAGAATAAGACAAGTTGGGGAGACCCTGAGTTCTGTAGAACCCCAGGATGGGGAGGACCGCGGGTCCCAGGCGTGAAGGAGGCTCGTGGCCTGGAAGGTAAGTGGTCTGGATTCACGTGCCCACGGCTCCCAAAGGCCTGCCCAGGCTTCACGTCCAGGACCAGAGCAGGGCCTGGTGAGCGGGGAAGCTCGGTATGTTTTCTTATTCTGGGAGCCCTGGTCACGCAGCAGGGAAATGCTCAGCTGCAGAAAGGTTGGCAGTTAGAATGCACCCAGTCCCTGCGGCAGAAAGACCTGGCCGCCTGCTCCTGCAGCGATCTGCCACCTCGGACTCCTGCGGCACTGCTGCCGTCCTGTAGCGTTGCTGGAATTGAAACCAGCTTGATGGCAGGGGGTTTGGCTGCTGGTTTTATAAGGCTCTAAAGGGAGCTCTGGTGGCGCAGTGCCTAAGGCATCTGACTGCTAACCAGACGGCTGGCGGTTCAAATCCCCAGCCACTCCTCGGAAGGAAGGTTGGGCAATCTACTTCTGTAGTGATACCACCTTGGAAACCCAAGGAGGGGTCATTATGAATTCAATGAACTCCATGGCAGTGAGTTTCTTTTTTGGTTTTAAGGAGCCTTGATGATGCAGCGGTTATGCGCTCAGCTGCTAACAGGTTGGTGGTTTGAGCCCACCAGCTGCTCCACAGGAGAAAAATGGGGCAGTTTGCTTCTGCAAAGATTATAGGGTTGGAAATGCTGTGGGGCAGTTCTGTCCAGGCCTGTAGGGTCACTATGTCCTGTTAGGGTCATTGAGAGCCGGAATCGACTTGACAGTGGGTTTGGGGGTTTTTTACTCTGAATGCGATCTTTGTATCCAAATGTTGGCAGATACAAAGCTGTTTACAAATCGAGGGAGCACAATGTGGGGCCTTTCAAAGGCCTGCCCCGCCATGGCTGACACCCCACCCCACCAGCCCCACCAGCCGGCGTCTGAGTTCATGTTCACTTTCCTGTGGTTTGTACTCGAGCTCATGTCACCTTCTGTGAACACGTTTTTGCTGTCAGTCCTGTGCCCTTGTCGACCCCCTGAGCGGACCCCCTGAAGAGCGAGTTGACTCCGTTTGGTGACAGCTTGTCAGCTTGTCCCCTCTCCGTTCTCTGCAGGGACTGGGGAGCTCCGTCCCCAGGAAGGACGCCGCAGCAGCCGGCGCACGGCCCTGCGGGAAGCGGCCAGGGAGGCAGCTGCATCCGGGACAGACTTTGTGCTGGGCTCCGGCCCAGGGCAGCCTCCCGGAGCCACCTCGGCGAGGGGCACCGGCGGGCGCGCAGCCCCGCAGCTCCCGGCGTGCGGACGGCGGCGTGGGTGCCGCGCGCGCCAGCTCGCGTTCATCTGCGGCACGTGCGGCAAGGCCCTGAGCAGCCACAGCCGGCTCGTCACGCACGAGACGGTGCACACGGGCGCCAAGTCGCTCAAGTGCTTGCAGTGCGGCCGCGCCTTCCGCTGGCTGTCCAACCTGCTGCGGCACCAGCGCAACCACACGCGCGAGAAGCCCTTCCGCTGTGAGCAGTGCGGCCAGGCCTTCAGCCTCAAGGACCGGCTGGTGCAGCACCGCAAGGTGCACTCGGAGCACCGGCCGCACCGCTGTGCCGCCTGCGGCAAGGCCTTCAAGCAGCGCTCCAACCTGCTCCGGCACCAGCTGGCGCACACCGGGGAGCGGCCCTTCCGCTGCGGCGACTGCGGCAAGGCCTTCCGCACCAAGGAGAACCTGGCGCACCACCGCAGGGTGCACAGCGGCGAGAAGCCCTACACGTGCGCCGAGTGCGGCAAGGCCTACCGCTGGCCCAAGGGCTTCAGCATCCACCAGCGGCTGCACCGCGCCAAGCGCTGCTACACGTGCGAGCTCTGCGGGAAGGGCTTCCAGCACCTGGGCTTCTTCACGCGGCACCAGAGGACCCACGGGCGCGGGAACACGTAGCGCCCGGCCTGCAGCCCGCGGGGCACCGTCTCAGGCCGTTGCTTTGGTTTGATGGGATCAGGTCACGGGAAACAGGGGCACCCAGAGCCAGTTCAAAAGGAGCCAGCAGACGGCACCGTTCCCCAGAAGGGCCTGTGTGGCCATGGGGGTGGGGGGGCTGTGGCGAGGGCCACCTGCTGTCCGCCAGTAAGACGGCGATGCTGAGACAATCACCACAGGCCGAGTGGGATCGAGGGCTCTGACGTCCTTACCGGTGAAATGACATGACATTTGGGGTTTGTGCTAAAATGCTAATAAAGAGGGAAAAGCATGGGCAACTGCTTGGGCTCCGTGGAGGCCGGCGACGGGTGGGCTATAAGCGCCCCGGTCGTATTTAATGACTTAAATGGACTGATTGTTTTAAGCTGCAGGGGAAGGGGGTCAGTCAGTGCCACACTGTCACAGTCCAGACACCCGGCACCCCGCCTCCAGAGGAGGGTGTGGCCCGATTTCACGCTGCCAGGCAGGGGTAGCTGAGGGGTCCGGTTCTGCTCTCTGCACCACCCCCCACCCCCCACCCCCCCCCCCCCCCCCCCCCCCCCCCCCCCCCCCCCCTGCCGCCGGGCCAGAGGAGGCATTTGGCAGAAGGAAGGCTCATGTCGCACACAGTCTGCTCTGGCTGCCCCCATGGTAGGAAAACGGAAACCCCAGTTGGTTCCCTAGTGCCACTCTAACAAATACCACGAATGGATGCTTGAACAAACAGGACTTTAATCTCTTACCGTTTAGAGGCTAGCTGTCTGAGTTCAAGTGCCAGGCTCTAGGGGCTGTGTGAAAGCCCCTCAACCCTGGACTTCAGCTCTGCCGCTTACTCCTGGCCCACTGAAGCTGGAGGCATCTCTTCACTCAGACACGTACTGGCTGCCAAGGCTAACAAGCCCAAGATCAACAAATAAAATGGCACAGTCCTGATGTTACCAAACCAAACAGCAGGCCATTAATCAAGTCTATTTAAGTCCCAAGGTTGGCAGAGCATGGCAGGCTGCTGAATAACGACACGGCTACATGCAGGGTCCAAGCGTGCCATAGGCTAGAGACCATTCCCAAAGCTGTTTCTTATATACAAGAAGCAGACCACATCCCTAAAGCAGCTACTCAGCTGCTTGTGGTAGATCCCACCATGGAGGTGATTGCCAGTCTCATCATGGGGAATACTACATCCAGCTGCCCAGCCACTCAGCCAGGCCCAGGTGAGTTGACACAAACTTAACCAGCACACCCACAGATGGGCTAAACCACCAGGAGGTCAGGGAAGAAACCCCAAGGGAATCCGAAAACATTGAGGTGAATGAGAACAGGCTACCAAGCCTCTGGGAGGCTGCCGCCTGCCCCACACCCTCTCCCACAGCCTGCCCCACACCCACCTCATCACAGCCCTCCAACAGTCCACCCCACACCCCTCTGGTCACAGCCCCCCAACAGCACTGCCCACATCCCCTCGTCACAGTGCCCCACAGCCCCTGCTCATCCTGCCCCCACAGGGCCACCCCAGGGGCCCCTAGCTGTGTTTACCCTGCCAGGTGACCAGAGTGGGCCTGGGATCAGCAGCTCCTCTTTGGAAGGGGACAGTGCGGCAGCAGTTGGCTAGTTACGGTCACCGAGTCCAGACGGGCCCTGGGCAGGGCCTGCGTGTCATCCCTGGGAGTGGAGAGGGTGACTTGGGGCAGGGGCTGCAGGGGAGTGGGAGGGCCTCAAGCAGGTGTGGGGAAGAGGGGTGTCATTCTGAGGGGAGGTCCGGCTCATGCCCACTTGGGGGCCAATCCCACCCTCTCCACTGCTGGGGGCAGCAGGTGATGGCTGTGCCCCAGGGTGGGATGGGGGCCCAGTCCCGCCGCCCCCACCTCACAGCTTTCAGGGCTGGGCTTCAGCAGCCTGTTAAGTGGCAACAGCCCAGAAGGTGCCTGGAAGGAACCAGGACTATCAACCAGCCAGTCCGGCTTTCTAAAAGTAAAGCTTTTATGGAGGTGTGCATACACAGCTATGCTCACAATAGAAGTGGGTGAGTGAAGGTCCCCAAATAACCACTGGTGGGGAGTGGATCCCGACCCACAGCGCCCCTAGAGGACAGAGTGGAACCGCCCCACAGGGTCGCCAAGGCTGTCAATCTTCCCAGAAGCAAAGCCCAAACCACACCCATTGCCCTGGAGTTCATTCTGACTCACGGCGCCCCCAGAGGACAGAGTGGGACTGTCCCACAGGGTTTCCAAGGCTGTCAATCTTCCCAGAAGCAAAGCCCAAACCACACCCACTGCCCTGGAGTCCATTCTGACTCACGGCGCCCCTAGAGGACAGAGTGGAACTGCCCACAGGGTCTCCAAGGCTGTCAATCTTCACGGAAGCAAAGCCCAAACCACACCCACTGCCTGGAGTCCATTCTGACTCACAGCGCCCCTAGAGGACAGAGTGGAACTGCCCACAGGGTCTCCAAGGCT